TAATAAGATCAGTCCCATGAATGAGAGATGAAATGTTAGACCTACATTTGTTAATGACGCTAATAAAGATTTTCTAAAAGTTTTTAGAGCCTAACTTCTGAGATTAGATAAGTGATTTATTGAATTGAGAATAATGAAGCTTTGCATTTTGTTTGTTCTCAAGATAGTTATTCTTTTAAAAAAGATGAAAAACTGTTTATGTTTAGGTATAGCAGCTGCACAAGAAGGTGAAAACCATGCTTACATTTCTGCCTGAATTCAGATTATGTAGGAGGTGCATTTTTCAAGATCAAGAAAAGAATCCCAGTTTTAGGGTAGTAGTAAGTAGTGTGACGATAGGGTCAGAGTCCAAAGAAGAAGTACAAGATGAAAGAGTTATAGAAATCATTGCATGGTCAGAACCACTTAAGAGAGAAAAAGGAGGAACTAAATACATGCTAGATTCAGAGACAAGACATAAATCAAGGAGTGAAGGTAAATGGTTATTAGGAAAACAAGTCACAAAGTTAAATATCTGAGTTGGAGATTGAGAAATGCAGAAGTTATAGGCATTGGTGCCACTAGGATCAGTAGCGTTAGAGTCAGGCCACTCAGTGCGATGAGCACAAAAATCACCAATATTGGCAGAGGTGTAAAGAATATGGGCATTGTCAATTTGATCAGAAATTAGATACATCTAAAAGAGTATTTTTGGGAAGAAGGAGAATGATAAAGAAAAGAGAAAGGGGGTAGAGTGAAGAGATGCTAAGCGGAAGTACATAAAAGAATGGTCAAAGAATTTAAACCTGATTTCACAACAAATAGGTGAATTGATGCATATGTATACCCCCAAGCCAAGCATGAGGCTATTGGAGTTTTGGCAAATCAAAGGATAGTACTCATATATACTGAGATCCGAAGAAGGAATAGCAGAATTTAAGTTAAGCTCACTAAGCGCAAACAAATCTGGTGAATTTTGCATAAGGTAAGATTCAACTGGTAAGTTGCTTCGCAGACCACAAATATTTGTAGAAGATACATAAAACAGTTTGGTGGTGGGGATGGTTTTTTATGTTTAATGTTTTGGGCTACTTTTGGCATGATTTAAGTCTAAAGAAAACTTGACTCATTCATAGAGAGAGCACAGTCTTTTAAGCAACAAGCTATGCAGTTGTCTCAGTCCTGTTATTTAACCCAAATTCAAAACTTAGGGTTCCTTATGTGACCTCAACAAAGCGCACCAAAAGCATTAAAAGGATCCCAAAGTGCTAAGACAAGTTGTGTTCATATTAAAAAGAATGATAAAAGAAAATGTTTGGGCAAAATTTTTTTATGAAAAACAAAATAGTAAAGGTATACCAGGAAGAACAAACTTTGTTGTTTTACTCCAAGCTTGCCGTCTCCATGTTAGCCAGTCGCTCAAAGTCTTTGAATCTCAAAGTCTCAAAAATATGTGCCGCAATCTACAGACTTTATAATTTATTCAAGCACGCTTAATTCCAAAGAGTAATTTAGTAAATAACTTTAGAATAAATCTGGAAATTTATTCTTTTTATTATTATAGATTACTAAAGAAGTTGTTTAGTTACTCATTATTGTATAAAAGTTTTTTTTTCATCATAAATTACTGTAGAATTTCTTTAGTTAATTTATTTTCTAAATTTCACAAAGTTTGCATTAAAAATATGAATAAAATATTTCAGATATTTTAAGCTTGTCTATTGCTATAAATTATTTTTGTGTTATATTTATTGTTATTGAATGATTGTTATCCTTATTAGAATTCTGTTAAAAAAATATTTTGTATTATTTAACACTGCCGCAAGCTGCTGACAGCGGCTTTTGATTTTTTCAAATTTTGACTGGAAGCCGCTGGTAGCAGCTTTCAAGTATGTTTCACAATTTATCTTGTTTTGTACATAAATTTTCACTCTAAACACATATAATTTGTTTGTTCTTAAGGTTTAATGAATTCTCTACATAATCAAGAACAAATAAGAGCCATATTGTGTTATTGTAAAAAGTTATTACTTGACAAAGCTAAAAAGTCTTGAGCTTTTCTTGATTAAAAAAAACTTCTCTAAATTTAGTTCTAAAATAAAGTAGCATTAACACTGTAAAATTTAACTCAAAGAAATATATAAGTATTTAGCTAAATAATTAAAAAACGTCTTTTGAAAAAAAACATTCTTTTTTTTACATTAAATGAGTTTTGTATTGGACTTAATGTTTTAATTACTATTTATAAAACAATGGTTTTAAGCACTTTGCATTTCTTATTGTTCAATCACGTGTTTTAAAAACTTTATTTGTTTAGATTTTTATTGATATATTGTTTGTTATGCTTTCAAAGAGATAATTTAGAAATAAACTTTTTAATTTAATTAAAAAGTTCATTTGTTTAGCTTTCTATTGATGTATAGTTTGGCATGCTTTTAAAGAGATTTACTATTGGAATTTTAATTAGTTGTCAATGTTATGCCTTCCAAATTTTATTCAAAAAAATGTGCTGTCGCAGCATAAAGATTTTTGTTAAAACGGCTGGTAGCAAAACAGTATACCTTATGAAAGTTTAATTAGCATTTATTTGCTAAACTTTTCATTGGGCACAAATATTCTCGAAATTCTTACTTTTTTTTTTTTTTTATTTTACTTCACCTCCTCAAGGCCGAGAAGGCCACTACAGACTAGGAGGCTACTTATTTTGTGGCTATAACCCTCTCTCAACTCTATAACTCTGAAACACGAACTTTGACGAACAAGGCCGCTGCGCGGAGAAACGAGTTGAGCGCAGTACTACCAGGGACGTGGTGGGGATCGAACTCGGAACCACTCGTTTATGAAGCGAGCGCTCTACCACTACACCACTACCGCATAATATTAGAAATGTTATAATGTTATAATGTTACCGCATAAACTTAATAATGTTAGAATACATTTAATGAAATTTATTCTGTAAAACATGTATTGCTTATTTTATTTTATTTTTAAAATTGGTCAAGATTGAAAAAAAGTGTAGTATTATCGAGTAAATTTAAAAATTGAAATTGTTTAATGAAAAACTTTTTATTGTCAATTTTGGTAGGTTTTTTATTTGTAATAAGACAAGGTTTTAATGTAAAATACTTGCCAAATACAACATAAATTGGGAGATATTAAATACAATATGTTTTTTAACATGCAAAACATTGACAACTTTAATCGCCATCTGTATTGAATTATTGCTATAAAACATTAATTATTGCTTTAATTAATAAAAAGCTGTAAATTTGTTAAGTATAAAATCTATAAATATTTTCGAACTAAAAGTTTAAGAATTCAGCAAATATCTCTAACAAATGATGTCTGTAAATTTATTAAGTGTAAAACCTATAAATATTTTTTTACTTAAAATTTATGAAATCAGCAAACATCTCTAATAAATGATGTCGTTTACCAAAATTCTTTATTAACTAAAAATTTAAAAATTTGTAAAATGTCATTTCGATAGGAGAACGCCATAGTGATAAACTGCTTAGATAAACTAGAAAAAAAGTTCACTTTGTTTACATAAAAAGAAAAAAGAATCAGAATATATAATAAGGTGATCAACGCCTTTTTTGAATATTTATTATATTTAAGAGAGTATTCATTATATTTTAACATGAAAATCTTAATTTTATTTGGTTCTCGCACTCCATAAAAAAACATTCTTTTGTTTAGCTTCCTATAAAATTCATAGGAAAGTTATACAATTAATAATAAATGCCTATTTTAAAAAACAAATAAAACAAAAACAAATAATATTGATTCAAAAGAAAAAAATACATTTACTAAAACTCTTTGGAATTAAACGCGTTTGAATAAATTATAAAGTCTGTAGATTGCAGCGTATATTTTAAAGACTTTGAGAGACTGGCTAACATGGAGACAGCAAGCTTTGAGTAAAACAACAAAGTTTGTTTTTCTTGGTATACCTTTATTATTTTGTTTTACTTAAAAAAATTCTGCCTAACCATTTTTTTTATCATTCTCTTTAATATGCACACAAGTTGTCTTGGCACTTTGGGATCCCTTTAACCGGTACACCATCCATGCACAACATGGCACTGTTAATACTCTGATATTTGCTGTTGATGGAATCAGCCTCTCTGAGAACTACCACAGAGAATCATTAAACTAAGTTTTAGAGCTGTACCCTCATTAGGAGATAACAGAAGGAGTTGCATAGCCACGAATAAGGATGCACAATCAGAAATCTATGAATAGAGTCAAGAAGATCCAACATTCATCATCATAGACAATAATGGGCAGTAACAATGTAACACAAATTTACATCTGCACCAGCCAAATAGATGAAAAAGGGGTTTAAGGCTGGTTAGCAGAATTATACTGCTTACCCCTAAAGTATTTGCCTGGAGGCCACCTACAAGATAATAGCTGGATGCAGTTAACATCTGCCCAAGATGAGTATTTTAATCAAGATAGCATCTTTTGCTTTTACTCAATTAAGCGGGCCAAGGCAGGGTAATTTTAGTTAAATGCATTTAACATCTGCCCAAGATAAGTATTTTTATCGAGAGACCATGTCTAGTCTTAACTCAACCAAGAGCCGCAAGGGAATTTTAGCTAAATGCAGTTAATATCTACCCAAGATAAGTATTCATATCGAGACACTATCTCTAGCCTCTACTCAACCAAGAGCCCCAAGGCAGTGGATTTTTAAGTCGGAGTTTGTTTGTTCTAGCCTTTGCCTAAAAAAGCTAACTCTATAAGGCAGCAGGGCACAGGGCAGGTAGTACTTGGTTACATGATACCAGTAGCAGTGTAATCATGATAATCCTGACCTGGATAGAAAAGAATTGGATAAAAAATATTTTTCTAAAAAATTCAAATTTATTGATGACGATTAAAGAGATGTATGGATTTAAAACCTGGTTACGACAGAACCATAATTCTGCAAAAGAGCTTCACATGTATTTAATAATAAATAATTAAAAAAAATTTGGTACTTTTACATTATTTAATTTTGTTTTAATTACCATTCTGTGATCACAGCTAACAAACAACTCTACATATAGTGTTTTGTTTCTTGAAAGATAATGAAGGTATTTAGGCTCAATATCAACTAATTCTACCAAACCCTAGAAGAAAGCATAAAATCTACTCTAGGAAAAAAGGTAATAAAAAAAGCATTAAGAAAAACATTAAACAAAAAATATATGGTTATAAGGTTATGGAGTTTTAAACTTACAACCGATCTTTTTGACTTTGCATGCCACTTATCTTTTATGTTATTTTCTGTAAAAATAAAATTCATTAAAATAAAATAAAAAGAATTATATCGTTAAAATACTATTGTACTATAAAACATTTGTGGAACACTAAAAAATTTAATAAATGAGCTAGTTATTTTTGTAGTTTTGAAAATTTACACATATTCCAGGCTAAAAAAACATTTACACATGCACCAGGCTTGTGGGAATCAAACACCACTACACCACTACCACGTAAAAGCTTCTCCTGTGAGAGAATATATATATATATATATATATATATATATATATATATATATATATATATATATATATATATATATATATATATATATATATATATATATATATATGTATATATATATAGGTTTTTTTTTAATGTAAATCAGTATGAAAAGCATGAAAATAATTTTTTTTCTGAAAAAGAATAATTTTAAGCTACTTTTTTTTACCTTAAAACTTTTTTTTTTGTGAAATTTTCAAGAACCAAAAAAAAATTTATAGAAAGATTCTCAGGAACCAGGTTTGTCTTAATAAGTCAATCAACCAAAATTATATTTAGTTGGGTTTAAGAGATTAATTGAAAAATGACTTTAGAAACAGATCCCAGAGTTATTTGGATGCCTAACAATGGGTTAATAATGTGTCTTGATTTTCACTTTTTTTCAAAATTTGATGATGGCAAGTTTTTTTTTTTTTTTTTGCTACTTAGGGTGCACAACATGTGGGTGGGTTGTTTTTGAAAAAAAAAAAATTGAGGTAGCTTTTTTTTCACTCTTAAACTATAATTTTTTTAGACTTTTTAGTTTTTAATTTTGCATATTTAAAATACAATATATGTATTTTAAATATGCATTCTACTTTTTGCTAGTTTTTTTTTTTTTTTTTTTGAATTATATAGGAATGAATGTCTTCAATTTATAACTGTGTACTTTACAAGCAAAAAAATCTACAATTTATAATGCTTTGTTACTAAATTTTAATACACCTCAAATGCCTTATCTAGATACATGTATGTATGTATATACATATTTTAACTCTATAAATCTCAAATCCGTCCTTGTATGGAATACTGTTGCCATATCAATTCAATTCAATTCAATTTCAATTTCATTTCAATTTCATTTCAATTTCATTTCAATTTCATTTCAATTCAATTCAATTTCAATTCCATTTCGTTTCAATTCAATCACCATTCAATTCAATTTCAACTCAACCGCCAATTCAAGTCTCATCCTTTTACTGTGACTGTTCTTAAGTGCTTCAAAATTTCTAGTCTGTTTTAATTATCCATTTCAAAACTAGTTTTTTTTTCAATATTCCACAATGATTTACTGATGATGATTACCCATCATAACTTTAACTTTTTGGTCGTTAACTTTTGATTCTTTATTATTGCAAGTTAAAAAAGAACTTTCAAAAACAGTTATTATGATACAAAAATAAAAAGATAATTTCCTCAAGAACTTCAAAGTGCTTTTAGATCAGTAAAACCTTTAAAAAACAAACTGGAAGTACTTAGTAAGACAGAAAAAAGACTTTAAAATTCCATAATTGTATTGTTTTTATCTTGAATCAACTAACAATCATTAAATTAATAACTAATAACTAACTGATAACTAACTGATAACTAACTGGTAACTAACTAGTAGATTGTAATAAGAGGATAAAATGAATTAAAAGCTTTTACATAAAAAGATCACAGTAAAAATAATGCATTAAGTTAAACATGGAAATCAATGAATAACAGTTTAACAGAGTTTCTTTTTAGAACTATGTATAGTTTAGAAAACTATTTAAAAACTATGTAAAATTTAAAATGTCATTAATAGCCAAAAAAGACTTTTTAAGACATTTGCGATCAATATGCATACATAAATGGCAAATAGCAATTATTTTGTAAAGCACTTGATCTTTTTTTTATACCCATTAGGGAGTCTCAAAGTTAAAAAGTTGTTAAATTATATTTATAAAATATGAAATATTTAAAACAGCTGTAAGATATAGAAATAATATATCCCTGCGGAATTTTAAAATATTCCTCAAATCAAGTTTGATTTAAAAAAAATTTTAATTATTTTCTCAGTTGTTTTACATTTTTAAGACACATTTTTATGTTAAAAAAATTTTGCAGTACAAAAGACGATTTCAATGTTTGCAGGATGAAACTAATTAAAAACAAACTATAATACTTACTAAAAATGTCTGCCCCCACTCCCCCTTTACCCCCATCCTCCCTAGCCTCTGTATATCAACTATATATACCAACTTTACAAAAAATTAATCAGCTTTGTAACTTAAATTTACAAAAAGGCTGGCTATAAAATATACCCAACCTAAGAGAGGTAAACCCAACCTAACTACGTATACCTCTCTAAATGTAGCATTTAAAAACAGTCTTATCCACTTTTAGTTTTATTCTAATAGTAAATTAAAAAATAGGTTAGTTATAGCTTTTTTGTTTGTTAAACCAATTAATAACTTCCATAAAAATGAAATTTAAAAGTTTACTCTGAACTGAACTATCTTGAATTACATCTCTTATCTTGCGAAAATAATGTCCATTTTGATCAAGCTAAATGTAAATTAAAAAAAAAAAACTTTAAAAAAATCAGATAATCAGTAATAAAAAATGTAAAAATTATTTAAAAAAATATAAATGTTATATTTTTTACATAATACTTTAATTTTATGTTAGATTGATTTTCATTTATTAGATATGAATTTATATTTATTTAACTAGCTTATGCTTTTATTTATTTATAAAATTATAAATATAATTGCTTAGATTGCTTTGTATTTATTGGAAATAAGCTATATTAACTTAATATAAACTTGCTAATTTTTATTACTTTTTTAATAATATAAACTAGTCAATCTTATCTATATAGAAGAATTGATATTGTTTATTTATAAGTAGCTGCTTATATAGTTAACTTGATCTAATTGTGCAAATATTATTTATTTATTTTTTTAACTTATTTATTCCCAACAAGACTGCAAGCAACCACTATTTATGTTGAGAGTTACAGGAAAACAAAGAACATTTTAAAGACCAAGAAAAGGGTTAACTGAACAATTAAAAAAAAGTAAATTACAGTCAGGAAAACATGAAACAATGAAAAAAACAGGAGAACATTTCAAAGCATTGATATGCGAAGAAAAAAATTAGATAAGTAATAGTTTTTTAAAACATGAAGGGACAGATACAGTAAAAGAATGCGAAGAGATAATAGCTTGTTTAAACTGCAACCATAGCAGTATTTTTCCACACAAAGTCAAACTACTATTTAAAAACATTTTTGAACCTCAAAAAGAGAAAAATAGACTGGCATGCTGTCAACATCTAATACAAGATAGAACTTTTCTGTTACAACAGGTTCTATCATGCATTAGGTGTTGACAGCATGGCAAAAGCTATTAATGACATTTTAAAGACTTTTAGCAAAGTCTGGCATGCAGGTCTTCTCCATTCTTCAAGTCACTTTATAACAAGATAACAAAATTATTAATTTTTAACTGCAGTATTAACATTTGTTCTGAAAGGCCAACATTTTTTATACCCAGTACATTCTGAGTACCACAAAGGTTTTGGCCTCGGTCATATTTATCTATTTTATTGTACATCCAGACACTCTTAAATCTAAAGTGACTTTATTTGCTACAGATTAAACTTTTCACTCCAGTCATGGCAAGTCTTTTTAAAGATAAGCTACCAGTTCTGCTTAGAATAGGCAGCTGATTATGAATCTAATTTCTTTTCTTTGACAGTTGGGGGCTTCCAGTGGCTTGTATATTTCAACACAAACAAATACTAATTGTATATTTCAACACAAACAAGTATTTTAACAAATATCTCAATGTTGTTGATATTCTTAACCGGTACTAAGTACTTTGCTTTATCTTTTTACAGATCAGATTACTACAGACCACTTATGGAAACTCTCTTTTGCCCATTCAGTATTGTCTCTATTATTAGCTATGTTTTTTTGTCTTTACCACATTTCTAATATCTCGTTTTTAACAAGCTTCTAATATCTCTCTGCAGCTACGTTTGAAGAGCATTAAAGTTACTAATAACAATAATATTGGTTACATAAAGAAAAACGGCTGGGTCAATTAGATTATAACAACAAAAAGAGTGTAATCTTGAGGAGAAAAAGAACAATAAACAACAAAGAGAAAGGCAATCAAGAGAATTGGTGCTAAATAGAAGCACATAAAAGAATGATCATATAATTCAAACCTGATTTCATGACAAATAGGTAAACTGATACATGAATAAATGACCAGGTTAGTTGTGTGAATTTTGGAGCCTTTGCAAATCAAAGAAAAATAAACATTAAAACTGAGATCCGGAGATGAAACAATAAAATTATTCTCACAAAGAGCAAGTAAGTCTGGTAAAATTTTTCAAGAGGTAAGATTTAATGAATGAATAGTTTGAAGGTCATTAAGGAATTCAAAACCAAATTCAGGATATTTTCTGTTTATTGGTTCTGAAAGCCAACTGGCTTTCAGAACCAATAAACTGAGTTTAAGAGCTATATCCTCATGATGAGAAAACAGGAAGAGTTTCATAACTATACGCAGTCCATGAGTAGATCTAAGAAGATTCAGCATTCATTATCCAGGAAACAATGTAACACTACTACTGACCTCTCATGGAAACCACTGGTTCACATTTATGTTAGCTAAATAGATGAGAGAGTGCAAGGCTGTTCTACAGAACTTTTTCTCATAAAGTCTTTGCCCATAAAGTCTTTGCTTAGGAGGTTTCCTACAAGAAAGTAGTTTCCTTTAAGTTTCTTATTGTTTTCTAAAATAACAAAATTTGTATTTAAAACCAACAATTTTTATAGTTGAGTATTAAAAATAAATGTATTTAAAAATAATAACTTTATGTGTGCTGTCTATACAATAATCTTTAAAGACTATAAAAAATTTTTTAAAAAATAACTTTAAAGAATACCTGAGGCATTATACTGTATAGTGTTTTATTATCTTTAATTGTTCCTCTAAAAAATTAATATTTAACTTAATTAAGAAATAAATAAAAAAACTATTACAAGAGTTTATAATTAATAATTGTTGTTAAATAATGTAAAACAATTATTGTTCAACTAAGTTATTACTTTTTTTCTTTGTTATTATTGATCAATTAATATTTTTTTTATTATTTGTCTCTATTATTGTTATTTAAGAGCCAGTCATTTTCTTGAATTAAAAATACTGGAGGTAGTTTAGTTGGTTTTTTCTTTAGAGTTTCAGGACTTTGAATCATTTCAGATGAAAGAAAACTGAAAATTAAAATTCCAAATTCAAAAGATTTGATGATTATGTATATCTCCAGCTACAAGTTTTTTTAAACTTGTGGCTCCGGCTCCAAACCCAATAATTCTTAATCTCATTGCTCTGGCTCCTATGTATTTTGCTTTGGCTCTGGTAAAAATATTTTTAAAAAAATTTGATTTCATATTTTATGTATTAAAAAAATTATTTTCAAAATGTTTAATGAGCTGCTAGTTCCCAGATACCATGGACATAGTATGGATTAAAGGCTTTTCCAGAAATCTACTGCATAATTGATAAATTGAATTGAAATATTAAATTAAAGAGAGCCAAGGAGCTGGCAGTTTTTTAATGACTCTGTTCTGTCTCCTTATGAAAATCTATGGCTCCACCTCCCGTGATTTTGGCTTATTCCAAAACCCTCCAGCTCCAAGGGTTTTTTTTCCCCATGCTTGCTCTCAATTACAGTACTTTAATCAACTAAAGCAAAAAGTAGATCAATCAAGCTTTATTGTCAATAGTGACTTAGTAGAAAACTATGTTTTCACAGTCCAAGATGAAATACAGAGCTTTCACTGAAACACCCAACCATGTACTTAACATCTATTGGTATCTTTTAATAGATATATTATAAAGACAATGAAGATATAAAAACTTTTCTAATAGTTTTATATCAGATAACACTATCCACAAAGAACCTGTGCACAAAATATTTCAACTAATCATACCCAGATTAAAATTAAAATTTCCTTATCTGTTCAAACTACTTAATTAAATCATTTTTTTTAGAAACCCATCAAATCGATTTTCTGAAAACTAAAAAAAATTTTAAATTATAAAACTACTGAAAATTTTGGCAAAAATATTCAAGAATTTTAAAATTTAAGGAAAAAACCTAATGTTTTTTCCTTAAATTTTAATATTATTATTTACTCCCAATAAGGTTGCAAGCAACTTTTATTTGTTGCTGTAAAACAAACAAGGCTGCAAGGAAAATTTATAAAATTTTATTCTTACTTTGATTGTCAAAGAGTGTTGACAGGGCAAGTTATATTCGGAAAACGCTTTTTGATGGCCTAAAGTAAAGTTTTGCTGCTGGTATCTTATACTATTTTACAATCCTAAAGGAAATGATATTTATAGGTTCTTGTAAATTATATTGTTTTTTACTTAAGTACCAAATGTGCTGCTCAATAATTTTTCTCTAAATCCAGGTTTGTTAATAGATGAAGTTTTTCATGAGGCTATCAAGTATTGTACCTAGGCCATATAGTTTGTTTGCACTTTGGGTCATATGTGTTTCTCTGATAAAAAATTTGTTTGACAATAAATTAGATTGTTGAATTTTGATTGGTGCATAGCGTTTTATTTTTTCGAGACATTCAAGAACTTTCAAGATTTTTAAATATTGGAAATTCTAAATAACAGATTAATTTGTAGAAACAATCTAAGATTCAACAAAATTTTAATAAAATTAATGTTTCTATCTTTGTTATCTAATTATTATTGAGTTTAATTTTCAGAGAATGGCCCTAGGTATAATAGCTAGTGACCCTAGGTACAAGTAAAAATAATGCTTATTGTACCAAGAGAAATCATTATACCTATATTAATACAAAGTAATTTAAGGTTAGTCCATGTTCTTGAATTGGTTTGAGCACCACTAAAGGATTTCCACACACAAATATTTGCAGCCTGCATCATACCAGGCCAACTTCTTCAAGTCATTAATTTTCTTTTCGTTGATTTCTACATTTCCAGATATAGCTTTGACATGGATTACTATTGGGAGTTTCGGAACTGCAGACTACTTTTATAGTGTAAACATTGAAGCGGTGAAACCGTCAATAAAATGCTTAGTAATCACTTTTCCTCGGTTAGTTTTGTTGTAATAAAACTCTTTGTAAATGGATACATAAAAGGAATCCTGTCTTACTTTTGAATTGGATAATAAATTTTCGAAGTGGATACTAAAAGTTCCCAAATTAGGCAATTATAGCAAGCAACACTAATATCTAAAAATCTATATATCTTATCAATGACTGATATCTAAAGATTTAAACAGCCAAATTTAAATGAGTTTACAAAAAGAAATTAGGTTTGCTGAACTTTGCTAAAAGTAAGATTCAATGATGAAAAGTTACTTTTCATCCATTGAATTTTAGGACAAGCTAATGTTTATAAAAGATAGATAGAAGCCATTTAATAATAATAACAAAAATTTAATATTTATTATTTTCAAGTACTACTCAAATTATTAGAGAACTTGACTCAGTTATAGATAACATATGGCAATTAATGATTGCCTCAGTCCTTCTAATTAACGAAAAGTTGTAAAGAAAAGGTTCTGTTGATGGAATCTTTTCTATCAGCTGCCACAGAGTTTGGAAACCTTATTACCAGCATTCTCAGAAAGACTAAATTGAGCTTCAGAGCTGTACCTTCATTAGCAAAATAGCAGAAAGAGCTGCATAGCTATTACAAAATAAGGCATAAGCAATTTTCAAAGTTAAGAAAATTTATCGTTCATTATCCAAATCATCAAGTCAAAAACAAACAATTAACTTCTGCTAGCCTTTGCTAAGAAAAGTGAGTCCTGCAAAGCAGCAGAACTACTGCAGGATTTTATGTTACAAGTAATAGGAGTATTGTTATTATTACATAATGATAAGTGATGAATTAGAATTATAACTAAAATCAACCTGAATGAAGAAAATATAGATATGTTGCATCGAAAAGGTCCTTCAGCATGTTTTACCTAGCCTAAAACAGATGGCTTATGTTTTATTCCCAACATAAACATTGGAAAATGATCTGTTCTACAAACTTGTTTTAGTTGCACAAACTTGTTGTAGCAACTATGTTTGAAAAACCTTAATTGATAAAATTATAATCAAAATGGCAACCATTTTGTGAACAAATAAATTTAAAATAACTTCAACTTTTAAATTAAAACTAATTAGTTTTGTAGCATTTGGAAATATTTTAAAGTAATTTCTTGAAAAAACAACATATCTTTGTAATCATCCGTATGTGCCAGGTGTTTTCCTATAAAATATTTTGTTGCAAGTAAGATAATAATAAAATTAATAACTATAAATATAATAAACAATAAAAAAAAATACACTTTACTAGAAAAATTAGTTTAGGAACAAAAAGTTAGGTTGTATTAACTAGTTTAAAACCAGATCATTTTGGGAATCTTGTAATCAATCGCATCTTGTAAACAAGTATCATCAAATTATATCTGGAAGACATTTCAACATTTTTTGGCTGAAATTCTCATACAATTTTTTTTTCCTATAAATAGGATTTAATATATAAAACAAAATAAACGAAAACACATCATTCAATGGACTGGATGATTTGATGTGGAATTACCCTTCTCTATCACAACTTTATAACAAATTTATTAAAAAAACACTTTTTATACTTACAGTAATCCTCCACTACAAGTACTGATGAATACATGGGAATCTTCGTGTCCGCGAACTCTTCCTTCATAAAAACAATTTTGAAGATAATGCTATAAACATTAGAGATTTATAAACATTAAACATTTTAATTTATAAATTTATGACTTGCTAAAATAACTTAATTATAATATAAATAACAAACATTATTTTTATAACAAATAAAAAATTTAACAAATATCAAAGTCCTAATAATTTTAACATGTTATTATAAAATATATTGGAAGACATTTAGTTCAATGGACTGGATAATATGATATTGACTGGATAATTGGAATTATCCTACTCTATTACAACTCTAGACAAAATACAAATAGCTTGAATGTTTTAATAAATTCAATTCAAGTTTTTTAGAGTAACAACCTGATCGGAGTAACTCAATTGGAGTAACAACCTGATTGGAGTAACTCAATTATGCGGTAGTGGTGTAGTGGTAGAACGCTCACTTCATAAACGAGAGGTTCCGAGTTCGATTCCCACCACGTCCCTGGTAGTACTGCGCTCAACTTGTTTCTCCGCGCAGCGACCTTGTTCGTCAAAGTTCGTGTTTTGGAGTTATAGAGTTGAGAGAGGGTTATAACCACAAGTAGCCTCCTCATCTGTAGTGGCCTACTCGGCCTTGGGAAGGTGAATTACAAAAAGAAAAAAAAAAAAATTGGAGTAAACTTTGCTCTGATTTAGTGTAACCAGCCTTACTTTGACTTTTACCTTTAAAACTATTTTGAACCACTTAGGTCTGGGAATACTTTTCTGATCAAAACAAAAGTAGCATCATTGTAAACAACAAAACTCAACATACAGATTAGATAAATAATAAATAAAAAATAAGTATCATCACAACAAATCAGGAGAGACTAATCTGGTCTGTCGAAGATTGGAGTCAAATTATTTTCAGCAATGAAAGTAATTTTCAAAATTTTAATCATAAATCAAGATAGCATATGAAAAATTGAAAGACAAAAGGTATGACACTCGCTTTTGTGTACAGCCTATGCAAGCTGGAGGTGGCTCAGTAGACATTTGGTGCTGTGTTTTTTATAAAGATGCTGGGTCCATAAAGATATACAAAGATTCAAGAGTATGAAAGAATATTCACAACCCAAAAAATTGATAGTGTCGATGCCCAGGCATG